TAACATATATAAACATTTCTGAATTTACACAACACAGATAGAAATACCTTTCTCTCAGTGCCATTTTATCTTTGTGACCCATCTTCAATAGCTCTTCCAACGATGCAGTGACTTAGACATTGGCTGCTCAGGAGTACCTGTAAATTGTACTGGTGGAATGCTGGATAGAGATTCCTAGAAATGATCAGAACTACTGAGAAATCATCCCTGGGATAGAGACTATGGCTTCTATAAAATACCTCGACGATTGAAAAGGCACTGGCTGTCTTTGTCACTGATGCCTTACTTTGGGGTGACCTTTCATGGCAGAACAGTCTGTCCCTGGCTTCTGTTTCACTTGTACATCATAGTTCCTTAGCAGTGGCAGTGGTGACGCTACCCACTTTTTCTCCTCCTGTGACTTCTGTCAAGCTCTGGCTCCCGAAGAACAGTATCCACAGAAATGCTTCTAGCAATTGCTCTTGTCATCCAAGGCAGGGTTGCACTTGGACCAAACGTCATGTCCTTCCTTCTCAGGTTACTCATTCATCGCAAGTCAAGATGTCCATTTACTTCTAAATTAATATCTATTTTCTAATTATAGTAGAAACTCTCACATATTTTCTGTGAGCTGGCAAGATGGCTCAGCAGGTAAGGATACTTGCCACCACACCTCAATCCCGGAATTCAATCCCCAGAATCCACACAGTGGAAAGAGAGAACTGATTCAGCAAGCTGTCCTTTGACCTACACACACACACACACACACACACACACACACAGAGAGAGAGAGACAGAGACAGAGACAGAGACAGAGACGACAGAGAGAGAAAGAGAGGGAGGGGATCAATTACATACACATACAATAAATTGATTAATTAATTAAAAAACACAAATGTATGGAGAATAAAAAAATCTTTGGCCATGAAGAAGGGATTTAAAAAAATCTTCAGCCATACTTCTATTTTTTGTTTGTTTGTTTGTTTGTTTTGAGACAGGGTTTCTTTGTGTAGTTTTGGTGCCTGTCCTGGATCTCACGCTGTAGACCAGACTGGCCTTGAACTCACAGAGATTCACTTGGCTCTGCCTCCCAAGTGCTGGGACTAAAGGCATGTTCCACCACCACCCGGCTGCCATACTATTTAGAGATATCTAATATTAAGTCTTATTTTCTCTGTATGTAAATAAAGTATGTGGGGCTTCTTCTATGTCATGATTTCCTGGGCATTCATGTGCACTAATGTCGTATTTTATATTCCTTCATTATGGGTGGGTTGCACTGATTTGACTTTCTACCTGCTGTTGGATGCTTTGACTGTATTTTTATTGTAAATGATGGGCACACTTACATCTTTATCCTCTAATCCAGCAGCCTTTTTAGGATCAATTTCTTAAAGAATAATTACAGAATTGAAATGCTTTATTATGTTTTTCCTTTTATATTCTTTGTATGCACTGCCAGACTGTCCTTTGGGAAAGGATTATCTACTTAAATCACCAGCACTTTAGAAGAGTGCCTTTCAGTATTCCCTTCAAATCCATGATAATATTGTAAAACCATTTTCACTGTATGAATTGTATAAATATTATCACAACCTTCTCTTTCATTTTATTTCTATGAATACTAAGTTGACCTAAGTTGATACTAAGAAGGAGAGATGTGTGTTTGCTCATTAGTTCCACTTATTTTGTAGATCCCGCTTTGGATTCTTTGTCCGTTTTTCCCCTTCGGTTGTTAAGACCTCTTTTTCTGAATGAGGTCTCACTATGTAGACCAGGATGATCTCAAACTCATGCTGCTGCCACCTCAGCCTCCTCAGGATAAAGTTACAGGATTTTCTTAGGCGATCCTGCTTCATAAAACAAATTATTTTATTTTTAATTGTATGTGTGTGTTTGCTTTTGTGTGCACCCATGAGAGCATGGTGTCCACAGAGACCAGGAGAGTTGGATCCCTTGGAGCTGGAAATACAGGTGGCTGTGAGCCACCTATCGTTAGTGTTAGAACTGAACTCAGGTCCTCTGTGAAAACACTACACCCTCTTCTTAACTACTGGGACATTTCTCTAGCCCCAGGATATCCTGGGTTTTTTTTTTTAATTATTATTTTCTGTGTATGGGTGTTTCGCCTGCATGTATGCCTGTACACCTCATGGATGCCTGGTGCCTAGTGGACCAGGATCCCCTGGAACTGAAGTTACAGACAGTTGTGAGCCACCATGTGGATTCTGGGAACTGAACCCAGGTCCTCTGGAAAAGCAGCCAGTTTTATACTGTTGAGCCATCTCTCTGGGCCCAATATTTCCATTATTGGTTCTCATTCTTTTCCTCCTCCATGCATGCACATATGTGGGTTTCTTAACACATTCAATACTATCCTTTTGCTTCTATGAGTCATAAAATATATATTAACAAAAGTCAGGTTACAATGAATATTAAATTTAATTATACTTGTTTTTCTCTTCACATAAATTCTATCAAACATATTTGTTGTTGTTTTGTTTGTTTAGATCATAAAAATCTACCAATTGACCAGGTGGTGGTGGCACACGCCTTTAATCCCAGCACTCGGGAGGCAGAGGCAGACAGATCTCTGTGAGTTTGAGGCCAGCCTGGTCTACAGAGTGAGATCCAGAACAGACACCAAAACTACACAGAGAAACCCTGTCTGGGGGCGGGGGGGGGGTGTAAGGGGGGGGTGGCGGGAGGATCTACCGATTGTGCTTGAAGGGATTTTTAGAATATAGAGAGACAAAGTCAGCCAGAATGGGAGATGATAAGTGTCAGAGTAGAGTTACCTCAGGAAGTTTGGGTGCCGTCAAACTAACTTCCAACTCAAAGAAGACATCAGGAACGAAAAATAACAGAACTGAGTCTCAAGCTGAAAAAATTCATGGTCTGTACATCTCTGCTGGAATTTAAGAACATATGTCTCAGTTACTCTGATAAAATTTTCTGATCAATCAAGCAACTTAAGGGAGAAAGGGTTTATTTTATTTCAGAGTCTGAGGCTACAGTCCATTACAATGGAGGAAGGCACAGTAGTGGGAGCTTGAAGTAGCTAGACAAATTGCACCCACAGTTCTGAAGCACAGAGCAATGCTGGGTTGTCCCACCATAACCAGATGGTAAGGCCCTATTGCTAAAGACACTACACACTTTGGTTGCAGGATATCAATAGACAAATCAATCTAGACCTGACCAGGAAACCTCCCTGATGGTTAGCTTTCACAGCACCAGAAGGTGCTATGTAGCCTACTGGAGAAAAGCTATCAGTGGTCGTACCCAGCACTGGACCCTGCTTCCTAAAATACTGAACTGCCAGGGAAATGTGCCCACTAGTGCAGTATTGGCATGACTGGTGTGGGGGTAGCCACCTGAACTCTGGTTGGGTTTGAGGCTTGCTCCCCAGAAGAGGATTCACTATAAATTTGATCAAAATCCCATGCCCAGGAAGGTCAAAGGTCCTAAAGGAGGACCCACCAGTGCTGTTTTGCTGTATCACTAGCACTGGCAAGGGCTGAGAAATGCCAATATCGTGTCTGTCTATAAGCTGCAAAGCCAGCTGCAGCCAAGGCCTGAGGAATTCTGGCTTCCTAGGTCTCCACAAGGGCTGTGACATGTGTCCTGCTACCTGAGGTATTCACTGAAGTGGAGCACTAAAAGCCACCTCTTGGGGCAGCTCCACAGATGGTAACTGTCAGAGAAAGAGGAACAGAAGGAAGGGTTGAGATGCAACCCTTCAAGAATTCATCTTTGCCTACCCAAAGTGGACTTCTATCTAGATAGAACTAAAGGGCCTCAGTATGGCTAAAGTTTCGCTCCATACACACACACACACACACACACACACACACACACACACACACACACGCGCGCGCGCGCGCGCGCGCGCGCACAGATTTACCATGTATTCCAAAGAAAAGGGAACATGAGCCAGATCTGGGAATTTCCTGTAACTGTAAACCACATTCCCTGCTCCATTCAAAAAGTCCAGTGCCTTACAAGTAAGTTATTTGGGCAAGGAAAATGGTTTACTTGGAAAGCAAGCAAACCGAAGATGGAGTAGTTCCCCCAGCAAAGACCAGTTTCCCTGGGGCTCCAGACAGTGTATGGACTCGTGGGAGGGTATTTGGGAGGGACACCTGGTGGTTACACATCTTCAGTGGTCTGTCTTACCGGTGCACAAGCTGTTGCTATCTGTCTGTATATGAATGGATTTTTAGGGTTCTGTAACGTAACCCACAAGAAAATCTCAACATGTGCCTTTTGAGTTCCTTTCCCCAGGAATAGTTAATCTGTCCCTTAATTGTTAGGATATTAAAGTCCCCAGAGAGCATAGAGGATTGCAAATGGTACCTTTTCCTGAAGGGAAAAACTTTCTCCAAAGGATAGAGGTGGGAAAGATTCTTATACCATACTTGGATGGCCTCAGTCAGAGGTGTCTGCTATGGGAAAGACAGTGGGAGAGTAAATTATGCACGGTCCAGCTGTGTGACTTCTAAAATTAGTGAGTTTTAGAAGTCAATTAAGAGGAAGTGAGACTAGAGGGGTTTTCTTTCCTTGATAACCTTAGGAAATGGGGCCCAAGACAGCCACCCAAATGCAAGATATCTTTAATGTCTGTGGACCATAGGGCCCATTTTTTTGTTTAGTCATAAAGGTAACATTTTCCCAACTCGTGTCAGGGATGAAGCCAGATACTGGATAAAGTAGATTAAGAGCTGATAAATGCATTATGAAAGCCTTGTAGTAAACTCAACTTCAATTTTCACAGAGGTGAGGACATTTCAGAGAAACAAAAGATCGTGGAGTTGGCCTGGGACTAAGCGACTAATTCCATCTGGGCTCTTTTCCCAGTTTTAAAATAACAAAACAATTTTGACCCCAAGTTGGACGTTCTTTAGAGCCCCTGTACCTGGCTGTGATGGCGTGCTCACGCGAGAACTACAACTCCCATCAGCACCGGCGAGAACAAGAACGCAACTTCCGGAGCGCCAGTTCTCGCGCCCTCCCACCCCTCACCCCCGCCCCATACACACCGCATGGATGAGCGGTCCCTTCTGGGTCCGGCTTCACCGGGTTCGAGCTGGCATTGGCCATTGGAGGTGGAGCCCGATGAGAGGAAGGGGCTCAAGACCCGGATGAGAGGAAGGTGGGGGTCACAGAGAATTGGAGGCGGAGACTGCGGCTCAGGACGCGCGTGACGTCATGTCCGCTGGGCGGGGCCTCGCGGTCCCGCGCAAATTGAAAGGTCCCCGGCTGCGCTTGCAGCAGCGCGGCTTGCTGCGCCCCGGTGAGTGATCCCTCCTTACCCGGGCGGCGGGCGGACTCAAGGGGAGCGGGCTGTGTGGAGGGAAGTGAGGTCCCCGCGGCTCCGATCCACGCGTCCTCCCTCCTCGGCGCGGGATCCGGGAAGAGAGTGCGAGCGTGGAGAGTGCCGTGGGCGCCACGTCTCCCGTTTTCCCGGAGGTGCGGGCTGACGAGTGTGTCCATAGGTCCGCCCGTCTCTAGCGACGAGTTTCCTTTGTGTGTTTCCTTTCATGTGCAGGTTTGAGGAACCGCAGCGCCTGGCATGGGCTAGCGGGCCATGCCTGTTCATTCCCGGGAGACAGGACTACGGTGAAGCCGCGGCTGCTGTTACCTGGGGTACCACCGGCGATCTCCTGGGGTTGGTGTGCCATATGGCGCTCAGTCACTCCTGTGCTAAAGATATACTTAGCCTAGAAGAAACTTAACGAAGTTTCATGAAATGTAATTATGTCCTTTTTTTCCCTCAGCATGCACGAACACACATTTAGGAGACATTGCCTTTAAAGGTAGTGGACTCATTTGTGGATTACACAAGTCGTGGTTGGAGGCCCACCTGCATGCATCCAAATTGCCTGATGTTTAAACTTCAGAAGTCATGCCCTCTCTAGGGAATCATAGTTACTGGACGTGGCATTAAAGGTCTAAGAACCTCAAGTTTCAGGACAAGAGCCTTGCTGTTTTCCTATGGTGTCCACGGGGGCACTGCTGGCTTCTTATCCTGTAGTAGAAACATGACCTTGAGTCTGGCAAGCCCGGTGCCTGTCGGTATGATCCCGGTGCTGAGAGAAGGGAGGCCATGAATGAAGAATCCCGGAAAGCTCAGCTAGAGGCCCAACTAGGTTGGCATATGCAGTTCAAACAAGGCTCTCATTTAAACTCCAACACAAACCAGGCGGTGGTGGTGCACACCTTTAATCCCAGCACTCAGGAGGCAGAGGCAGAGGCAGGTGGATCTCTGAGTTCAAGGCCAGCTTGGTCTAAAGAGTGAGTTCCAGGACAGGCTCCAAAGCTACACAGAAAAAACCGGTCTTGAAAAACCAAAAATAAATAAACTCCAACACACATACATAATACCATAAAAAAATAAATAAATAAATTTTGGGGAGATGGCTCAGTGGGTAAGAGCACTTGGCTTTTGCAAACATGAGGACCTGAGTGAGAGTCCCCAGCACCCCTGTTAAAACCCCGTGTGGCTGTGAATGCCAGTAGCACCCCAGCATTGGGAGGCAGAGATAGTGGGTCCCAAGGACTCATTGGACTGGTTTCAGTAACATACCCTCCCTCAAGGGAATAGGCAGAGAGCAATAGAAGAGGACACCCAATGCCTTGCTCTGGCCTCTACATGCATGTACACACACACACTCATTGCACACACACACCCAACACAAATAAAAACATGATCTTTGATGGAAATACTTGTACTGGGTGAAGCTGTTTTTGCACAGCAAACGTGTTTTCACATTGCTTTAGTACAGCCTTCAGAGAGTCTGATGAAATTGTCCCTAGACTCTACCATGACTTGTTTATTTATTATGATTACTTATTGTTTGGAGTATTGCATTCTGATGGTGTTGGATTGATGCCATGTAAAAGTCCAGATCCATTTCCATGATTCTGATTACCTTTCACTTGGAATGTCTGACTTTCTCCCAACTTTTGAGTTTCTCCACTGCAGCTTTGGATGTGGCCCTTTAATGCCTTTTTGTAGGGGTGAATATAATACCATAGTGTGCACAGTTTTGTAAGCTTCCAACACCATCTTTTTGAAAGAGACTTAAAGTTTTAATGCCTTCGGTGTGCTTAGGACTGTGTTAAGAGATGAGAGCCCATGTTAGGATTCTAAGTATGAAAGTGTTTTGGAAAGAATAACCACCAAGAAACTACCCAGTGGTGTTCAGGTTAGTGTTGGTGATGATAAAATTGTGAGCTACAGAAGTTGGCAGAGATAAGGCTAGTTTTCAGCTAACTGTTAGTTTCTGTGCTAGGTTCCAGGCTGGGTTTATTTTTCTGAAACTTCTTGGTAAATAAACTTTGCTATAATTTGCTGCTGTCTCTCCCCCTTTTCCTGTGTTTCGTGTAGTTAACTCGGCACTATGGGGATTCAGGGACTGCTTCAGTTCATCAAGGAGGCTTCGGAGCCCATCAATGTCAAGAAGTACAAAGGACAGGCAGTAGCTGTGGATACCTACTGTTGGCTTCACAAAGGAGCTATTGCCTGTGCTGAAAAGCTAGCCAAAGGGGAACCAACAGATAGGTGAGTTCGGGTGTGTGGTAGTTTGTTTAAGAAGTAAAATGAGCTGGTGCTTTTCATTTTTTGAGACGGTCTTCAGGTATTTCAGACTGGCCTGGAACTTGTTACAGCCAAGGATGGCCTTGGACTTCTGCTCCTGCTTCCTGGAGGAGGAATCCTACTGTATGCTGTGATTACAGGCTTGCGCCACCCATGCCCAGTTTCAGGTCATGCTAGGAACAGCCCAGGGCTTCATGCATGCTAAGCAAGTACTCTATGAACTGTGCTATATTCCCAGCATCTCGGTGCTTGTTTAAAATTTTTGTTTTCCCGGTCATTGTCTTAATAAACACTAGCATTTGTTAAGGACAGGTATTTAGAATATTGCCAGACTTCCTTCTGTGGTATAGACCCGACTTTTGTTCTTGGTAAGAAGTCAGCCCGATATGGACAGGCAAAGATCAAATATTATCTCCTTTATTCTTTGCTTAAGAGAAGCCTTTGTTTCTACCCTAGATAAACTTTTTAACACTGTTTTCAGAATCCATGATGTTTTCTCACAACACACTACTAATCTCCGTTAGCAAAATGAGGCAAAGGGACAATATGTTCTGGCCAAAAATGGTGGGGCCTGTTGTCATCCAGTAGCTCTGTGACCTCACTTTGGACAGGTTCACATGCATTCGTATATAAAACTATACTGTCTAGTACCCCCTGCCTTTTTTGCATACATATGAGTATGATTGCTTTTTAATTTCTGAAAATAAAGCTGTGCCATTTTAGCTTTTCAAAAAGAAAAGCCCTCATTTTTTTGTTACTGCGTTCCATGTTCGATTTGTGTGTTGTTTTTATTTTTGAGACAGGGTCTTGTGTATCCCGGGTGGGCCTTAACCTTACCTTATAGCCCAGGATGACCCTGAGTTCCTTCACTCCCACTTCAGCTTCCCGAGTGCTGGGCTTGTGGAGCTGTGCCACCACATCTGGTGTCTTGGTTACTTTTCTGTTGCTGTAAGAAAACACCATGACCATCATGGGGAGGAGCATGGCAACAGGGAGGCATGGTGCTGGAGCAGTAGCTGAGAGCTTAAATTCGGAACCACAGCATGAGGCAAAGAGAGAGAGAGAGCTAACAGAATAGTGTGTGGGCTTTTAAATCCCAAAGCTTGCTCCTGGTGACACACCTCTTCCAGCAACAAGGCCACACCTCCCAGTCCTTCTCAAATAGTTCTACCAACTGGGGACCAAGTATTCAAATGTGGGGGCCATTCTCATTAAAACTACCACAACTGGCTTTCTTTGAATATTTGAATAGTTCCATAGCCAAGAAAACTTAGTGTCTAGTTTAGGATATCTGTGTGTGTGTGTGTGTGTGTGTGTGTGTGTGTGTGTGTGTGTGTGTGTGTGTGTGTGTTGATGTGTTGGTGTGTTGGTGTTTTGTCTTCCTGTATGTCTGTGTATCACTTGTGTATCTGGTGCCTGAGGAGACCAGAAGAGGGCATTGGATCCCTTGAAGCTAGAGTTACAGGCAGTTGTGGATGCTGGGAATTGAACCCCGGTCCTGGAGGAGCAGTCAGTGAAAGAGCAGCCAGCATTTTTGATCACTGAGCCCTCTCTCCAGCCTTAGATTCAAATTTGTGATTAACTGGAAGAATTTTTAAAATCCAGGCAATATCCTTTATTGTTAGAAAAGTGAGAGATGAAATCCACAGGGCCCAGTCTCTGACAGGCCCTCATTAAATATTGATGAAACTAAAATGCTTACTATCTGCTACGGATTTAAAATTTCCCCTGACAACTTAGAAGTCATATTTGGTATAATTAATTGCTTTACTTTTTCATCCTGCCAGGGGCAGCAGTATTAGCCAGAAATAAATGGTCACCAGTTTGGAATTTTTGATACGCTAATTATAAACACTTAGGGTTATTGTAGAGATTGACATCAGCATGTGCTGACTTGGAGGTAAAATGAATGGTTGGTACCTGATGCCTTATGCTTTCTAGTTAGAGAGAGATGCAAATTTGCTTTAAAGCATTACTGGTCCTGGTGTGCTTTCATCTGCCCTTGGGTGTCTAATCGAGCTGTAGCCGCTATTCTCCCGTGTGGTGCCCTCGCCACTGTCCACAGCAAAGAATGCAGCAAGTGGACACAAACTAACTACGTTTGATTCGAAAGCTTAGCTTAAGTGCCGCTGGGTCCTCCCTCAGAAGCTCAGTGTCCAGCATCTCTACCCACTGAGCATTCTGGCTGTGAGTTGGTGGGGTTTATATGTTGCTGTGGAATGTTGTGAAATGAGACACCCTGAGCACCATGTTCAACATTAACCGGGGTATCACTGGTTCTGAGAGACATTATTGGCACTATTGGATGAAATTTCATGTAGGGTGCATTGTAGAAAATACTGTCATGTCTCTTGGGTATGATAATACCGGTATTGTGGGAGAATCAAGTGTTGTATTCTTAAAACTTTTCAATAGATTTGAGATATTTCAAGTCAATTTTTTTTTAATAGAAGAATAAAAAATATTTGGAACAACAATAAAGTATGAAAATTGAAAGATGTCAAAGCCTTTTCATCCACAATTGAGAGCGTCCCAAAGCAGTGGTTCTCAACCTTCCTAATGCTGCAGCCTTTCCATGCAGTTCTTCATGTTGTGCTGACCCCTAACAATAAGATTATTTTCATTGCTACTTCTTTCTGAACTGTAATTTTGCTACTGTTATGAATCGTAATGTAAATATCTGATATATCCGATGATCCTAGGTGACCCCTATGAAAGGGTCATTCAATCCCCCAGTGGGGTTGTGACCCATAGGTTGAGAACCACTGGCTTAGAGAGTCAAATAGTTTCTAACCACCACATACCTGACCCATACCGCTTGCAGCGGAATTTGAACCGTCTATCTGTTTCCTTTGGAGAGTTTAGCATCAAAAAACAAATCCTTCTTCACAGTCCTGCCATCTGGTCTTAAATAAAGCAATAAATAAATAAAATTAAGAGATTCAAAGCCTGTAAATGCATTCTCTTTTTCCTTCTCATAGGTATGTAGGATTTTGTATGAAGTTTGTTAATATGCTGCTGTCTCATGGGGTCAAGCCTATTCTTGTCTTTGATGGATGTACCTTACCTTCGAAAAAGGAAGTGGAAAGATCTCGAAGAGAGTAAGTTGACTCCATACTTAACATCTGGCTCAACTGCGCTGAGGCCAGATGCTTCTGGACATATGATACCACATTTCTAAAGTCTTGATTTTTCTGTTCATGTACTACGTACATGAACAGATTCCCTTAAATGTTCTGTTTGTATTAGATTGTTATCACATTTAAAAATAATTGCCTTTCAATATGAAACATTGCTGCGGGAAAGTCTTTTCTCAGGCATGTTGCACACATTATCAATCACTTCCTCAGCTAGAGTAGTGACGCTGCCTGTAATCCCAGTACGTGAGAAGTAGAGTCAGAAGGGTCTGGAGTTTACTTAGTGAGTATGATGCTAGCCTGAGCTACATGAGACCCAGTCTCAAAAAAAAAAAAAAAAAAAAAAAAACCTCATTTCCTTTTGTCTGGGCTGATATGCCAGCAGATCTGATGTGGAATTGTGCGGCTTAAAATGTATTCATCTCTTTCATCCTAGCAAAATTGTTATAATTGCAGTTTTACTACCATGTCTTGATTCTGCTTGTAGGTATTTGTATTTAGTTGTGTTCTTCCCTTTCAGGAGACGACAAAGCAACCTTCTTAAAGGGAAGCAGCTCCTTCGAGAGGGCAAGGTGTCAGAAGCCCGAGACTGCTTCACTCGCTCTGTCAACATCACACACTCCATGGCCCACAAAGTAATAAAAGTGAGTTAGCGAGAAACAGCAAAACCACTGAACAGACGCTCTGCCTTGGATGGTGTGTATAGAGATGCAAGGGACGGGGTCCTGGGGGCTTGTTCCTTACCCTGCTGTGGTGGAGCCTGTGTTTAACCACCAGCTCGCATTCTTCTGTGAATGCTGGCCAGAGATGTGTCTCGCTGATCGAGGGGCTCTGCAGAACCCCTGTAATCTGCCCCTGCTGAGAAGCTTCTAAGCACCCCTCACCCAGATCTTAGGCTCAGCCCCCACTTTCCTCGTTCTAGGTCAGCTCTGTGCGTCAAGCTGTCCTGCTGTCTGTGCTGGGCTCCAATAAGCACCCCGAGGCTTCTCTCAAGGTTCTTTGTCTTTTGACAGTTGGTTATGGCTTGAGTTGGAGAGCCAGGGGGATGGATATAGGAGAGAGTGAGGTCTACAGAAAACACGTGCTCTCTGTTGCCCCGAAGAGAGTTCTGTGTACTGCAGAGGAGAAATCTCAATTGGACACAAGTAGCGGTGCACAGGGAAGCTTGGTAGGCAAGGGAGAAAGGAGAAAGGCAGAGGGATGTGTTTCCCCTGATGTTACCTACAGCGAGGAGGGTCTGCAGTTTCCCAGAACTGTGTTAGCAGGCCTGCCTCCAGCCAAGGCAGCCTGTAGTCTTTACAAGAACAGTGCATGGACCGTCCAAACCAGTATCTGTGTACTTTCAGAATGTAACAACTCCTAAGGTAGAAGCTTTTTGCAATTTGATACAGTGAATACAGTAACTCACCACCACTACCAAATTTATAGCAGGATTTCTTCAAATTTATAAATTAATGTTTTTTTTAGGGGTGTGTGTGTTTGGGTGGGTGTGGGTGTGTATGTGCATGTATATGTGCACATGTGCAGGCATGCACATACCACAGATTGCATGGGGCGGTCAGAGGACAACACTGGCTGTGAGTTCTCCCTTTCTGACCTCATTCGAGGCAAGGCTCTTGTTTGTCAGCGTGTATGCCACCTGACAGCTTCCAAGAATTCTCTTTTCTCACCCCTCTTTTTGCTGTGGTGGTGCTGGAATTACCTATAGGTTCTATCCTACTCATCTTTTATGGGTTCTAGGATTAGAACTAAGGTCTTCAGAATTGAGTGGCCAGTGAGCTGCCACCCAAGCCTATAAACTGATTAAAACAAAACAGTGTAAAATATGTTACAACTAAAAGTAGAGAGATTCTACTTAAAAGGGCACGGTTTTTGGAAAGTATTACTGGTGTGTGTGTGTAGGCTGGGGACGCCGTGCCATTCTCATACCATGCTGCAAGCTCACTGTGGTCTCTCACAGGCTGCTCGGGCCCTGGGAGTGGACTGCCTGGTGGCTCCCTATGAAGCTGATGCTCAGTTGGCCTACCTTAACAAAGCTGGACTTGTGCAAGCTGTCATCACGGAGGACTCTGACCTCCTGGCATTCGGCTGTAAGAAGGTATTGAACTGCAGCTGCTACCCACGATGCTGTGTGGGGAAGAGCTGTGTGTGTTGAGAAGCCAAAGACTTCCTCACCTGGAATACCCATTTATGCCACTTAATATCTGTGTATTGCTTTATCATTTCGGTTTGGGTTTGGTTTGCTTTTGGGGGTTCTAGTAATAAGCCCAGGGCATATGCACGCTAGGCAAGTATCTACCACTAAGCTATGCCCCAGCCTGTGGGTTCTTTAGCGTTTAGCTTGTCTTTTGGTTGACGTTTTGTGTATGTGGTTGTGTATGGGGTTGAACCTCTGACTGATAGACAAGCACTCTTCACCACTGAACCACAGCCCTCTTTACTCTGTACTCTGTGACTGGGTCTCACTAAGCTGCCCAGCCTGGGTTTGGACTCAACTCTATAACCTGGGCAGGCCTTGAACTTCGAGTTCTCCTTCCTCCCCAGCCTGGCTAGTTTTACTTTTTAATATTAATAACACATGCCTTACGTTTGTTTGTTTGTTTGTTTTTTAATTAGGTTTGGTAAACAAACTTATCCATGACAAGGATATTATTCAGTTATTTAGAAATTATGTATAGACCAATTTAATGGTAAACTTTATAATGATCCATTAAAGAGGGAATTAAAATATAAAACCATAGGTAGTTGGTTACCTTTTGATAACAGATATAATATGTATATGCATCTTCTTAGATTGCCAAGAGGATGCTCATTGGAATCTTAACACTGGGTGACTGATAAATGGGGCATGGACAATTTCAGGTTTTTAAAATTTCCTGCAAATAAGCATGTATTGCCCCAATAACAATAATAAAAGATTGACCACTTTAGTATGTAAAAGAAGGTAAGAAGAAAAACTTGTGTTTTGGAGCAAGAGTGATTCCTTAGAATTATTGTGATGACTTAACGTTGGTAAAGTGGCCTTTCTAGGTATTGATCATTTCCCTCTGTGAAGGTGATTTTAAAAATGGACCAGTTTGGAAATGGACTGGAAGTGGATCAGGCACGGCTGGGCATGTGCAAGCAGCTTGGGGATGTGTTCACGGAGGAGAAGTTCCGGTACATGTGTATCCTGTCAGGCTGTGACTACCTCTCCTCCCTGCGTGGGATTGGCTTAGCAAAGGCCTGCAAAGTACTGAGACTGGCCAATAACCCGGATATCGTTAAGGTAGGAGGGACCTTCACTTTATGAAGGAGCAGTTAAATGATAGATGGAGTTCAAAATGGGTTTTTAATATTAATCTCTGGCCTGTGAGTGTTACTAAAGGGAAAAGGTGACTGGACATGAGAACTCTTGACTCCTGGATCCTAATACTTAGGAGTAGTTCTCAGGCATCTGGTCTAAGTATAAGGATCTTCATACTCTGAAAAGTTTTGTGTGCTAATAATTTTTGATTATGTATAGTATAGCTCTCAATATACTGAATTAGAAATTTAAACAAAAATTTGAATATTAATTCATTTGAACTGAACAAAAAGCTCTTTCATGTTAACAGAAATCACAAAGCCAACACTCTTACCCCATCCTGCATCATCGTAACCCACCCTCCATTAAAATTGTTTTGGGACAAGGTTTTTTACTATCAGGCTGCTCTTGAACTTGCTGTGTAGCCAAGAATGGCCTTGAACTCTTTAGTTCTCAGATTTATTGTTTTCTGGATATAGATCAATCGTGAATTCGTAGAGGTGTAAAAGGAATTGGAATAGCAGCTCCTTGATTAGGAAAAACACAACTATACCAATAAGGACACCCTGTAGTCCTGCTAATATGTTCCCAAATCCTGTCCCTTTCTTACAAGGAGTGTCAGGAGTTGGTGACTCCTAAGTTCACATAGGTGTTTCAAAAGGTGAGCCAATAGAATTCGACTTAAGAGCCAGGCGTTGGTGGTGCACGCCTTTAATCCCAGCACTCGGGAGGCAGAGGCAGGCGGATCTCTGTGAGTTCGAGGCCAGCCTGGGCTACAAGTGAGTCCCAGGAAAGGCCCAAAGCTACGCAGAGAAACCCTGTCTCAAAAAACCAAAAAAAAAAAAAAAGAATTCAACTTAAGAACCCAGATGACTTGTTGTCCAACTCTACTAGGAGAATCAGCAAGTAAATATCTAGACAAAAGATGTGTACATCCTGGAGGCACACTCCTTGTTTTGATAGTAAAACACATAAAAGGTGTCTCAGTGTGTCCATAAAAAGACACATTATTAATGCTAGTTTTATGTAGAATGTAAGGGTTTCCTTCTCCTCCCCTCAGATTAGTATTGTGAGTGACTACTTTTTGTGTTAGGGGCATCCCAAAAGTTAGATGACAAAGTGGGGGGGGTCTAAACCTATGTCTAATAGGGACCACCATAGGAGAACAGTGAAGTACCTATTTCTTGAGGTTTATTAGTATCCAGAGCTTGTCTGAGAATAATTAGCATTCCATTGAACTGCAAAGTACTGAGGCTGGCCAATAACCCGATATCGTTAAGGTAGGAGGGACCTTCACCTTATGAAGGAGCAGTTAAATGATAGAGGGAGTTCAAAATGGGTTTTAAATATTAATCTCTGGC